AAATTTAATAACGTAACGTGAGATTTTACCTAATTTTTCGCGCACGATTCACAATTGTTTCTCTCTCTTTCCTCAGATATTTTTCTCTTCTCCGGGATTCCTTTCACTCTAGTCCTGGAAATCGCTGGAACATCAAAACATCCAAGATATGACAGCTACCGCCACTCGTAGAGCTGGGCAAACGTCGATACACTATTTTTTTTTCTTTTGGAAAATATGCAATGAAATGTCGATACAGGATGGGTACGCTATAAGAAAATGAGTGTTTTATAATAATAAAATTGATTATAAAAATTTAAATTTTAAATATAAATTTAATTTATAATAAAAAATATAAATTTTTATAATTAAATTTTTATCACAAAATATTTTTTTTAGTGGTATTTCACTTATATCGATATTTGACTGACTCAATTTTTTTCCCCCTTTTTTTTGTTTTACCTAAACTAGTGCAGAAAGAAAGTCCCCTATTTTTTCAGCGTTGGTTACTTGGTTATCGAAATTTTTAATTTTATGATAGTATTCACTGATTACTTATTATTATGCTTTCGCAGTGACGGAGGGGAAATTAAAGAAGATGCTGGACCAAAAACTATGAGTAGATATGAGTGAATTATATGGTTTCGGTATTCACCGATTAAATTATTTTTTAATTTAGTTATTATTTTCTCGGCCAGAAAAAATAGTCTACCTGTAATATACCTATAATTTTTAATAGTGAATTATATTTGTGGCTTCTCTTTTTAAAATTTTCACCCAATTGTTCTAGATGTATATTTCTCAGCACAAAGTTTTTTTTTTTTTTTTTGGTGGATTCCTTTCATTTTCTCCCGCGATTTCTCTTCCAAATTTACCCTTACATTACACGATATTTTTTTTATTATATCTTTAGTTTTTAAATATTATATTTAATTTTAATTAATTTAAAATTAAATTAAAATTAAATTCTATAAAAAAAATTAACAATTTTTATTTTTTTATTTAAAAATTAAAAGTATTCTTCTTGAATCAATAAATTATTAATCCTTTCATTACACGGTATTAAAATTACCTGTATAGCTCCATTTTCATTTTCAGAATGGAAATGCCCACCTTTCAAATTCATCCAACGTTTTGTGTAAGTGGGATAACCCAAGGAAAACACGAAAAGTAAAGTTCTTTTTTTTTTTTTTTTTGGTTCTTCTTTTGGAAATAGGCAATGAGAAAAGCAAAGTTCGGTCTGGGAACAAAAAGATAAAAAGTTTGATTAACATAGATTCATTATCGCACCCAAAGAAAACATATAAAGCAGAGTTTGGTATGGAAATAGATAAATATAGAATTTGATTGATATAGATTTATAATAATTACTTAAATAATTAAGTGATAAGTTTGAATTTAACTTATAAGTGAAAGTGATATTATTTATTACTTATTCAGTCAAAAGTTGAATTTTTTCATCTTATTCCCTTTTTCATTTTTTTTTAAAATTGCAGTTATTTAAAAAATTAAGTGATAATTTTTTAATAAAAATTAAAAATGTTAAAATTAAATTATATGATAAATAAACTAATTAAATTAAAAAATAAAATTATTGTTTATTATATAATAAAATTTTAGTGACTAATAAATTAATTACTTTTTAATGTATGTGATCCAAGATAAGAAAAAATGAATTAAATAATAGGTTAAATTTAATTCAAAATAGTTCAACAACTTTAATTATATAATAGGTTAAATTTAAATTTAATTATATTTTACAATATTATAATAATACTTAATAATGTGACTTTTAAATTTACATACTACTCAAATTAAAAT